TCTAGGAATGGATTTGGCCAATGGGATTTTTCTTACGAGCGCGTTTGCACTTTGCATCATTAATCGATGATAAGGATAAATTAAATTGTATAATTGAATCGACCGAAGCTATCATTTCACGTCATCTTATCGAAGCATCTACTAATCATTGGAGAGGCCTTCCCGAGCTTACCAACAAGGATGGCTCTTATTGCAAGGATAGCTGTCGCACTCAAGCATGGAGTGCTTCAGTTATATTAGAGGTTCGTGTTTAAAGCGAATCAATTTTCGAGATTTCTCAAAAACAAATATTATTATTTACGAATCGTTATTTTAAAATGTTATTTGCACGAAACACTGTCATTTAGCATCTCTGTATTTCGGAATTTAGGTACTCTACGATTTGCAGAAGATCAAACAGGAATTGCAATCTGAGAGGAGATCTAGAAATTGATGTCATTTTGCGTGTGTTCACCACCAGCAATTACACTTAGAGCAATTAAAATTAGAGGCAAGATATAGCGGAAAAAATAAAACAAATAACACGAATGTAAGCCTTCTCACTAGAGAAATCTCCAGAACATCACCACACACATCAGAAACACACGCATATCATATTTCACACATAGACATAACAAACACGCAAATCCGTAAATCTGTAGTCGCTGCTGATAATACATCTATAGGAAATAATACTTCGATCGCTACCGAGAAAAGATTGATCTCTGCGATTAACGGGAAATGCGATAACACAAATGATAGTCAATATAATTCAACAGAGATTCTACCGGAAGCGCGTTTTGATGATCAATGGAAAACTGAAAGCTACAATCAACAGCAGACAATGATGGCGAACAATAAAGAAAAAGAAGCCAGTGTTCTAGCTCTGTCGAACATTGAACACGTTTACGAAGAAGTTAAAATGATTAAAAAGCCACGCAATAGTTTGAACGAGCACGACATTCGAGATTACTATGAGAAATATAGCCCTGCCACGGCGAAGACCTTGATAGACACGCTTTTTCTGCCGCGGCATGCAATTTGCAGAGAATGTGCGAAAATGAAGAGCAGTCCGGTGTATACTGATCGTCTGATATACATGAAAAAATCGTTGCTAGCAATAGAAGTGGTCCTGTGTCAACGCGACGATGTTTCGTGTTTCAAATACCCGCACGAAGATTCCAACGATATTTTCTATTCGCATCGAAATCAGGATTGCATGCTGGTTTACAGTTATGTAAAAACCAACTCCGCGGGTATATTTTATTCTCGCTGCTGGCCTCAAGACATATTCGATCTACAATCGCTGTTAAAGCCGAGCATTCATGTTATAAATCGCACTTATTGCAACCCCATAGTGAATACTCAGTTATATCATCGATACATAAATAATTATCACGTGAGAATATCAAAAGTCGGTTATACGCCCATGATATTTTGTCGCGAACGTAATACCTTGATAGCTTGTACGAGAAACATTAGCCATAACAATGATTCACAAGAGCCGATGATTTATCAGAAACGATCAAGAGAGAGCCATATTGATGAACGTCGGGGGAATAGGTCAAGCTTATTATTGTTAGAACCATTACTGTTAATGCCGGAACTAGTAGTTTCTGATGAACATCAAGAAAATACTAAGAATCGAGTTTTACGATCGGAACGTATAAAAATTATCAGAATAATACTGGCCTACGTATTATCATTTCTTATTCTCACAAGCATCACGTTTTACATCGTTTATTTTACCTAAAGTGGTTGTTTATTAAACTTGTGAGATTGGTAAAATATTTGGGAGATTTAATCATTTTCGGATATTACATTTATTGTCATTAATTTTACGTTACATTTGTTACGAAGTGTCAAAATATTTAATGAATGATCAAAATCAAACATACGCATGGTTTTGTCGTTACATGCATATATTTTATGTCCAGTGTTAAGCAATTAATCGTTCCATTAATGACAAAAAAAATGTTCCGTGGCATATAAATTGTTATCTTAATCAATAAATTCGCATTCGTTACGAGCGAATCATTTTTATCTCTATCAAATTACATATGTAACGGATATACAATTTTAACAAGCTCGCATAGTAATCGTAAATTATCATGAATATATTTTGTATATGCCTTTAAAGTCTAGAGAGCAATGTAGCCATTTCAGATAGCTAAGATAGCTTTATTGAAGTTTATTAAAAAATGTTAGACACGCATTCGAACTAATTTCGAAAATTTAATCTCTTCACGCGTTGTCATCTATTAATATATCAAATGTTTAATAGTTCCTATTATTAATTTCACTCACAATGCTAGAAATGCAGGAATCATTTTAGTGACGTCTTATTTATATGAATATATTCATCGATATATAAAAGATTTATAAAATCAATAGAACTTGATATAACTTAACACGTTTTTCTAAAAAAAAAAAAAAAAAAAAAAAAAAAAAAAAAAAAAAAAAAAAAAAAAAAGTTTTAAACAAATTTTTTAATAAATCCTATGAATATTTTAACTTATGGGCGCATCTATCTGAATATATATCACAAAAAATGTATAAGAAACATGAATTTATAAAAAAAATTATTAATAATTGACAAAACTTCTAATTGACACAAGAAGTTTCACTATAATTATATTTATTTTGAAATGCCTTCATAACATAAACTGCAATATTTTAAATCAATCGCGAATATTTACATTGAGATTAATATTTTGTTATTATATACTGACTTATTCTTATATATATTAAATTTTCTTATTCGTTAATCAATTGATTTTTTTCCTTTTTTATGCCATTTCTACCCACTCTCTGAAGCGAAGTTTTACAAACTATCGTAATAGAAATAGAATTAAAATTACTAGAACGGACAAAATTTATAAACTTTTAAACGTAAACAACGAAATGCAACGAAATCTTTTATGTCCTCATTTTTGTGTATATATGTATACATAAAAAATAATATATTACAATATATATTACATAATATATTACAATAAGTTGAAATCATTTATAAAAAATGGATTAAACTATTGAAAAAATGCCATTTAAGAAATTTCGGTATTAATGAATCACTTCAGGTACATATAATTAAAAAAATCGTATATAAATTATTTATTAGCTTTAACAGAAGTTCAACTATACAAAACTGAAGAGAATAATCGAAAGATAAAAATACATTTGTCTAATAAACATAATACACATAATATGTTTATACTAATTCGGACGTTTATTGCACTATCACTGATTCTATCCGTCGTGCCACAATTCTTATAAAAAAAAGACGTTTCTACTTAATCTATCCGATTCTTCATTTTTAGGTTTTTCGTACATGATAAGTTATAAATATATCTCATAATGGTACAATTCGTACTTCTAGTACTCAGATTCAAAATGCTACAGGCACATGAAGCCTTATGTTTCATGGTTCATTTAATAAGATTCGCTACTTTATATGAACGAGTCGTCGCATCGCTCAATATAAATATGTCGTGTAAAGTCCTAAAAGCCAATTCATATAGATTCTACGGTAGCACCTAAATTGCATTCGCAAATACAATTTATCCTTTTTAGATATCATCGAATAGTCCTCTGGGCGGAGGACCCACGCGACTTGTACTCGTGGAAAATGCCCTTACGTTACTCGCGTCGTACGAATCAATGTCTCCTTGATTCTCTATGTCACACTGATTATTCGCACCATAACTCTCTCCACTGAACGTCATACCGATATAATACTCCGCGGGATCGAAATCGTGTAACAAACCTGCTCTCGCAGACTCGATCGATTCATCTCGTTTTAGCGGACGTACTAGAGAATAGTTAAGAATAACGTTATTGATACTGTAATTTATATAATATATTTCATTATTTCCACATTTTTCATCACACATACCAGTATCTGTGCTTTGTCGAGACGTTCTGTAACGCGATCCTGAGCCTACCGAAATATTGAACCTTTCCTGTAATTCGCGTCGTCTATACATAGAATCTTCCGCTCTTTGTCGTTTGCGTCTCTCTACAATAACAAAATGTTATTTCTCTATTTTTCCAACAGAAATATTAACATAGCCAAGTAATAAAACTATTTTGCGTGATGTATATACTGTGTTAAAAATGTATAATGATTTATTAATACCTCTTTTTATAAGTTCTCTTCCCTCATCTACGAGATCTGTCGTGAATTCGTCATCATCGAGGAATTGCTGAAAACCTAGCATAGAAAGCAATCTACTGCCTATGCTAAAGTACGTCGCTAAGCAGAATGCTAAGATTGCCATAGGAAAGTATACATTAAATCCATCAGATATTATAGAAATAACATCCATATGACCCATTACCTGAAAACAAGGAAAACAGTGCATAAAAACAAAACATAAAATTGCAAATTTGCAAAAATTTGCAAATTATTTAAATAATATTACTTGTGTATAATGCGTTTCCAAGATATGAGTTTTGATGATGTGGGAATCCATGTGAATAAGTCCCAGAAAGTTAAGACACATGGGTGGAGTTAAGCGACACAACATCATACCGCTGAATATCAGACTGTACTCGTTTGTTTGATGATTAGGTGCCAAATAATAGAGATTCAATACTCGTATCTTCAAGACTGTCGAGTAAGCACAATAGCAGAGATATGCGATAATCAATGTAGACAACATCTGAAAATCAAATACAGATAATAATTTATGTATTACGCAAAATACAAAATGCAAATCTTTACCTCTATCGTAAAGTAGTCGTAATTTCTCTTTGCTAAATTTAGAAACTGAGCGAATAAAGATAACACAGGAGACTTATTGAAAAATGTTACTTCCGACCATACTACAGCCACCGATAAGCAGCCGGCACAAATTGCAGCTGCCTTCAAAACGTAATTCTTCACGATACATTTCCAGTACCATTCTAAAATTTAAATTACAAAATTACAATTACAACCGAAACAACATAAATTAAATTAATAGAAGATACAATAAATGACATCGACAAGCAGGATTTTAAATGCCTATTAATTTTCTTTTTTTAATTTATACATATAAATTCAAAAAATTGTTCATGTCGTCATCCATATGCCGTTATTTTTAATTTGCAATGTAACGATTCAAAACTATAGACAAATTAAATTATTGAACAAATATTCAATGACACCAAGATAATAAAATACAATATAACGAAACGTTACTCACCAACAACAGGGTTGTAAATAATGCGAAATGGAAGCGAGCGATGTTTAGGAAAAGACTGTTTGAATCTTCTGTCATGACTCACTTGATTCTTCGCTACGTCTTCCAAATCAAATATTTTACTCACTAAAATGCCCCATTGAGTCTCTATGCGCTGTAAAGTCTGCAACGCTTTTATAGTCTGAAATGAAAATAACAGCGACATGCAGAAGTGCAAATGCGTCGTGATATTGTAATGTATATTTGTTATTAACAAAACCTGTCTGTGTAAACGAATTAGAGATTTCTCAGTAGGTGCATCCGTTGGAGTGTCATCAGGTAATTGTCGTCTGTTCATTCTGTCCTTCAATTCAGCAGGTATTTTTTGAAAGATTGTTTCCAGATTGTAATGGAACGGATGACCTGGTCCAATGGATATTGTTGCAATTTGCAGCGACTAAACAACAATTCATTTGTTACAAGATCTTATGCACAATTCTTACGTTAATATAAATATATTCATATATTTTATCTTGTACCTCGAGTATATCGTCCACTGTTTCTTCTGCTTCGCACTTATCTAGACTTAATTTCGCCACCTTGAAATAGCTGTAGTTCAGAGTATATCCAGGCTTGCTAGAATTCCATAATCCTCGAGGAACTTCTACGAGGGCATAACCGAGCAATAAAACCAATAAAAATAAACCCCATGTATTGGACGCAGATGATGCTATGGCTTTCAATTTTTGCCTAAAACAACAATCATCGTAATTACTTCTTACATTAGTAATTCAAATAACAAGATGACATTAATTGATGTTTCAATGATATTTTATTAATATTAGAGACATTATTAAAACGTCATTTAACATCATTTTGCTACTTGGTTAACTTAAATCTTAAAATTTAAATTTGTGTTATAATCCAACTATTTTTTACTATAATACTTTAATACTATAAAACTTTACTATAATACTATAAGAATTTAACAAAGCTCACCCATCAAGATCTAGACCAGGCTTCAGTGCAATGTATATCAAGAGTATACCGCATATAAACAGATAGCTGCCATAATATATAGCATTATCTATTAACGCGGACTTTAGTTTTCCACGTACAGTAAAATCTCCTGCTTTTATATAAGACTGCATCAACGGGAGTATTAACCATGTCAAGAATTGCGACGTCCAGTAGACTATCCTCCACAAATTTGGAAATACATTCTCTGGCACATTGGGCAAAGGATCTATGCATGTGACAAATGGTGTAGATGTCGTATTATTGAAATCCTTAGTGCTGTTGTGTATATTTTGCTCTACGCACTGCCTGAATACGGTCTGTAAAAGCAAGACATTCTTTCATTTATTTTATCCTTTCCCAAAAAAGAGAAATGTAGTCAATACAGTCAAAAATCAAATAAGAACTATTGATATACAAAAATAATTACCGAAGAAACATCCAGAGGTAGTATGAAGATTATTAATACAGAAAAATACCAAGCTATCAGCACAGATAGAGTAACTGCAATGTGATGCCGAAATACATTTCCATACTTGAAGAGCAGTGTTCCAACCAGCAAGAATACCAGTACGATTCCCGACAAAAATGCACCAAGTACCATCTTGACTCTAATATCTATCTTGCATGACAGTGATAACTAATGAATCTAAATCTTATAAACCTTGAGCTATCACTATATGCTTTATACATTTGCATCTAAACTGCTTTCTGCTTCCTGCGTCTCCCTCACTTTGATTTCTGCATCTCTCTGCATTTTCTCGAGTTTTTCCAGAGTAACCGACTTTAATGGGATCAATTTCGGCTTACAAAGTATATAGGTCAATGTATCCTCCTGATACAGCAGGCCTTGTCTCGGCAGGACTATGTCACACTGTTCAACCTGACCATCTGTATCTGTAGGCTCTGACATTTTCGATCAATTCGCGAGACGATCAGCGAGTTGACGACTTCTTCATCGTGACATCTGGTAGCAAAAAAACTATAACATCGATACTTTGACGATTTCTACAAGAAAACAATTAACTAAAAACATTTTTCGCAATAAATAAAAGGACTAGAAAGGGCTAGACATTCGGCATATTTTTCTTAATCGGACATCAAGTTAGCTGAGAAATCAGTTCCCCGCGTGTCTAACACAGCACAGTTGGCAAAATGCTTAGGTGATCCGATCACTGGAGAAATTCTCGAGAGAACTATATAGCGAATTGTGTGTCGTCTTCTCGTAATTAAACACAAGTTGTCGCAGCCGGTTTCTCCTTCTTAATTTGGCACCAGATTATCCAAAAGACAATCTGTATGACTGATGCCAAGCGGAGCTGGTGGACGAACTCAAGACTCGCCGACGGATCTTTAACTTTAACCGACGAATTATTAGCAGACCATCAACCATCACCGAGCTCCACATTGGATGGCATTGGACGTCGCGACGCAACGACACGAATCTTGGAACTAACATCGATAACTGTGATGAGCGCTATTATCTACAAATAACTAAGATAATTATATCGCGACAATTCGTCATTCTCCAATATTTACAAATTATATTCATGATGTATAAAAAGAATAAGAAGCTACTTATCTACATTTCCACGATAGATAAAAGAAAAAAGAAAAAAAGAAAAAAGATTTATTCCTTTGTATGGACGAAATAAAGATAGTAACAATAAAAAATTTGTAAATAAAATTAAATAATAATAATTTTATAATACTTTAATAATTTAATAATAATTGACCTTCCACTGACGATGTAACTTTTTTTTATGGAATTGTCAATTCTTTTATTGTAAATTTTAAGATAATTGGCGAGAATTTGTTATCTTCCACGTAAAAAGATAATATGTATGTATAGAATGCTAGTATACAATTATTTATTTACAAATATAATTGAAAAGGTTTGTCTCCTCAGATGTCCAAGTTGTAGATCAGTATTTTTGTAAAACAATAATTTTAATTTTTTTCTGTGTTTTATATGCTTTTAATGTTAATTTCAATAAATATAAATATTTTGCTTTTAAAATAGATTTTTCGATAATTTTAATTTTAATTTTTTTAAATTTTTAAATTTAAAAATTTTTTCTGTATTTTTCTGTATTAATTTTAATAAGAATAAACTCAATTTAATGATTAATTCTTTGTAAAAATCACTATTACTTTTTTCTCGAAAGATTTAATTTCCTTTCTTACAAAATTTTCATTTTCAAGTAATGTTTAAATAATTCAACTTTTTGAAATTGTCATATGCTATTTTTTCTTTCGAAATACTTTCGATTATTACGTACGTATTTTCAATTATTATATAATTAATATAAAAGAAATTTTTTTATTTATATAAAATACAAATTTTTAACTAAAATCACGTTTTTTCAATGTTTTTGCTCCAATTTTAATTTGTAAAAATAAAATATTTCGATCTTTACTATGATAAAAACTTAATTTTACAAATTTTTACAATGTTTATAAAAGTCTTTTCAAATATGCAATCCGAAAGAATGCAAAATACTACATTATTTCTCAGACTCAAATTATAAACAAAAGATGCTAAAATACTGCTGATGGGGAATTAATATTAGAAAAAAGGATAAATATATACACATGCTAAAATGTATCAAAATAATAAATCATAAAATTAATATTATACTAGGAGCTAACTTTATAAATTTTAACAGCCACATGAACATTCTATGAGATGATCAATCTTTAATATAGTGTCTTGTCAACGGCTATAAGATAAGATGTATATTCTTTACAGCTGCACTCATTTTCCGCACTTAAAATAAAACAAACGTGCGATTAGACGTTGAGAAGAAAGAAAGGGGGAATGGATGAGACAAGAAGTTCTACAAAGAACAATCCTGTTTGAGGAAAGAAAAGGAAGGTAACATGCCGAGTAGGCTGATCAATAAGACAGTCAATGGTTCAGCGAAAGTTTGAATCTAAAAAGAGAAAAAATGTGAAATAATATGAAAAATGCGATGTAACCATAAAAGTATTAGCGATTTTAGACATTAGAGATATTAGAGGCATTATACTCGGCATTGGCTATGCTTTTCGTGTATTTTTATAAAGGGGGGACGAGAATACGTTTGAGTTTCGAAAGAGAGAGAAGGAAACAAGGGCAGAAAGTGCAATTGGAGAACAGCAGTGTCGAGTGACAGCGGGGCACAAATAGTCTGAAGTCAGCGTAAATTCGCATGTGAGAATCATGTGAAAATTCAGATTTGATCCTTGGAATGTGTCTGAAGGAAGCTGCGAAGGTACGTCCATTCGATCACCGATCGAGAAACGATAATTTAACATTGACACATGGAGGAAGGGAAAAAGGGAAGGGAGAGAAGCCGATGATGATGATGAGCATGCTGACATTCCTCGAACGTAAACAAAAAGTGTCATATTTAGCTTCGGTGAAGCGGCGGAGTGACGATAACTGATCCTGAAAGCGAGAGCGGTACATTTATTAGTTGAAGAGAGATGAGCATCCCGTATGTCATTTGCCCTTTCGATTTGTCATAGTAGGTCTGTGAGAGTCAAAAACTTTCCACGGATATTCAAGCCGAATCGAAAAATTGCGTGCGCTCAGATTCTCGAATAACATTTCGTTCAGCATTTCAGAGGATGATTTGAATTTTGAAACATAAAAACTAACTTAACTTTTCTTATATCAGAGCGACAAACTCATATCGTTATTCATATTACAATAAAAATATAAAACACGTTTGTAATTCATAAGAAACAAAAAATTTGATTTTTTTCAGGATTTAGAAATAAAAATAAAAAAAAATTAATGTACGTACCTAAAACGAATAATAAATTATTTTAGCTCACATAAGTTATATCAAGTAAATATTTGTTCCTTTCTTAATGAAAAATATAACTATATGGTTATATTTGATGATAGATGTATACAAAATATGAAAAAGAAAACTACTCAATCGCGAGTAAAAAAAACTTCTTTTCATTCTTTTTCATTTAATAAAACAAAAAATTCCATAGGAACATAGTCTATTTATAACCGATATCTTGTCACCGATATCTATTTTTAAATATTCGATTTTTCGAATTTCAAATTGCATTCCGAGATACGTCCCTATCCTCACACTTATCAGTCACTGACATCATATGTTGTAAAAAGCATTATTGTCTCATCTCACAGGCAAATTCATATGTGAGTTGTTGTATGTAATCATGTTATACATTTATGAATCTGTTGTATAATCTTTATATATCAATTTTGTCGCACTTCTGTAACAAATATTAATCAATCTATATTCCTAAATTAAGAGTGCGAAAGTACGCGCGCGATCACGTGACATTAGATACCAACCTAAGCAAAACCAATGCTCGTTTTTACCAATGTCTATTAATTTTAATCGGTTTAGTTTATTCTTTTTTTGAAATCTTTTTTTAATTGTTAAAATTAAAAAAGATAAAAAAAATTAAGTTAAACCGAGATTAAAATTAATTTACATTGATTGAAATAGACATAGGGCTCTCAGTTTTAAAATCTTGATTGCACCTCTCTTTCTTCACTTCTTTCCGTTCCTCCAACATTCATGTATATTTCTATCTCATTCTCAAATTAAAAAGTATAGAAAGTGCAATCTAACGAAAAGGAGCTGTATCTCGCGCGAAATTTTTACAATTGCGTTCTTTGCAGCCGAACTTTTCCGAACTGCTCGTCTCTCCTCTCTTTCTTTCCGACGTCTGATCGCACACCTGTCTCATTTTAGTGAGTGCAGATATCTAGGGCGGAGTGTAGAAATCCTATCTCACGTATAGATATGTCACGTTTACTTGCACTTTCTGGCATCTTCTTCAGCCTCGAAGCGAGACAGACGCGTCGCACGCATGCATTGGAAGAACGAAGAAACGAGAAACCCGAGTGCAGAAAAGTGTGAGGAACGTGACAAATCTTATATCGCATACCATCAACATTTACCCCCACCACCAGCGCCACCGCTACTACTACCACCACCACGTCGCCGTCGTCGCGGCGGCATCCCTCCACGAGTCGCCGCCGCGATTCAAAACCTGTCGGTCTGCATTCCAGTGTCGCCGCCGGTGAACGCCAAGAAGCAGCAGCAGCGGCCAAGCCAGCTTGGCTAGCTAGCTCGCGAGCCAACCAGCCAGCAGCGGCAGCGGTCTCGTCGTCAAGCGCGTCCCATTCTGCCTCGTTCCGACCCGCCGTCTCGATCCGCCGCTTTTTCCTCCGCGCGTCCGCCGCTCGGCGTCGTATATGAGTTGAGTTACGCGAGCACGCGCACGAACATGAAGTAGACGCGAGGGACGCGAGAGATTCCCGATTCGCCGCGCGAGAGGAAGCGGGAAAGCGTCCCGCGAAAGAGGGACCCACAAAGGCACGCGCACTCGCGCACGCACGCGGCCCAACCGCGCGGGGGCCGCTTCTCGCGTTGCGGGGACTTTCCTCACGGTGCGGTCCCGTCCCGAATTACATCCCACGAGTTGGCGAGCGACGCGAGGGACGAAAGGGCATCTCTCTTGGCGTCGACTTGGTCGGCGCGGCCGAATTGAGAAAAGGGTAAGCGCACCACTTCTCTGTCTCTTT